CAGCCAAGTCCTGAAATGCCCCTGCTTGGCCACGAGCAACCCTTTATTTGCCGGATCTCGGAAAAGGTTGGGGGAGCGTCCCGGAGTGCTGGGATGGCAGGCACTCGGTGCGGCTGTTTGCCAGCTGATCTGGAAGCACTGCAGTATTTTAGCAACCAGTGTGGCCCTACGGAACCGCCACGGTGCCCTCAGTCTGACCAAGGATGCCCAAGTCAGGTACATACTCTGCCACTTTCTGGAAGTAGCCTGCTGGAGGAATTATTTGTCCGCCACAACTCTGCATGGATTCAGCAATAAAGGCAGCAATCTACACAAGAGAAGACGGGGTCAAAGTCCATCACGCCCCCCTCCTACCCCCTGAAAAAGAGGATCTCTTATAGAGCAGGTTATTTTAAAAATGGCTACGAATAGACCCGTTGCAAGTGGCAAATAGGCCATTTGATTAAAAAGAAAGGAAAAGGTGTCTATGTTGGAAAAGCAACTGACTTAAAACATTAGTAACTGAAATTCTAGGCTACCGTGAGAAATAGCGGAGATGAGAGGGTGACTTCCATTTCTCCACCATTAATTGAAGTGCGGTGGTTTCATAGGGTGAGCTGAATAAGGCTGATGTTTTGATCAGCCTTGATATGAACCTCTAAAAAACTACCCAGGTTCCAAAGTCATCGCCGTGTCCCTCTTTTCTCAGCGTGGCGAAATACTGCTTGAGGCTGGAATTTGCACCAAGGAGACGGGAGGGTGACTTGTGGCCACACACTGTGGTTACTGTGCTATGTTTCTAGGCCTTGCCCTCACCCAGGCTTAACTCGATAGTGGGCAATTAACAAAAGGACCTACAGATGAAGTGTTCTAGAGGCTAAGAAAGTAGGAAATAGCCCTGAAGTAGGAAGAGAGAGTGCAAAAAATAAAGTATGAGATACATCAAGAGAACCAAGGTTCTTAGTAACTGTATTACCTTGGGTTAAATCCTTCACTTTTTAGTTATTTAGTTTCTTAGTGGTAAAACGAGGCTGTTGGACTCGAGAGATTTCTGCTCTAAAACTCCCCAACTTTACCAGCACATCTAATATTCAGAAGTCCCTGTCTTATATTTGCTCACAGCTTATAATTATTATTAATTAATAATAATTAGCTCACAGCTAATATGACAGCATGAATCCAGTAACTACTGAATGCTAATGTTCTTGGAAAACTACCCACACCCTCTTTTAGCAGGAAAGAGTCCATACAATCTTGTTAATGTAAACTTTTTTCCTGAAAGCACTGATTACCATTCAGGTAAAGAGGTATAGGCTATATCTGGAAGGCAGCTGTGCTCACCACTATTCGACCAATGCAAGGCTGTATTTGAAGAGGAAGAGTATGATGTTCCACACGCTAGGTAGAGCTTTAGGTTTACCTTTGCAGATATATCACATAAGGAGATAGGAAAAAACAAATGGGTTGGGCAGAAAAAGAAGAAAAACAGTTGAGAAATGTGAAGTCAGTCATGAAGACATGAAGATAAAAATATTTGAATTAATTGGAAAAAAGCAAAGGCTTCATTTTAATTTTAATTACGGATTTTTTTACTTGCTACATCTATGCCACGAGCCAGTGTAAAGGCAAAGTATTGTCGAGTTGCATTAAAAATCCACGTAAGTAACCCCCAAACGGGCTGAGAATTGAACTTCAAGCTGAAGACTGAGAAAATGGAAGCCTGTTTTTCCCGCTTCTGAGGATTCTGGTTCTGTCTTAGGAGCCCAGGCCCAGATTGCAAGAATATGCTTCTGCCTTGGCCCAGCAGGCGCAGACCTTCCCCAGGCTCTGTGGCTTCAGGAAGGCCGAGCTGGTTCAGGAGAAGCACCAAGCTCCCTCGTGGGTCTGGAAGTCGGCTGCGGTCCTGGGGCCCCACGGCCACTCTGCCTGTCTCTTCCCATCACCATATATTGACCCCTGGGGCCATTCTCAGTTGGAATAGTCTGTCCCCGAGCTATCGCCTTTCCTAATTCTCTCTTCCTCTACCCCCCTGGACCAGACCCTGCACACCACTGAAGAGGTCAGAATTAGGCCACTAGTTCTGGAACAGGCAGAGCAATTGCATTTCCAGGATAAATAAAAGTAGACAGTCTAGAGGCATGACTGTAATAATGCACTTTTTGAAATACGAACCGAGTAACCAGAGAAGAACAGAAAAGGAAGTTAGACCTAATCATTTTCCATCTCTCCAGTGAATTACAACAGTTCTGACCCATTTTATAAATGGTGTTAAAAACGTTTCCAAAGCGGCAAATACAAACCTTCCTCCCACTGTTATGAGCTTCTTCAATAATTTTCTTTACTTCCTCTGCATACGCACGGGCTGCGTCTGCGTGGTCTTCTCTGTATTTTCCCCTGTAAGTATCTGGAACTGGTGCCTGAACACAGCAAA